CATGTCATTAGCACCTCTAGTAATATATTTACTGAGAAAAATGTTGACGTTTTCAATACTTATTTTACCCGCTGTGAGCGGAAGGGTAAAACAGCCATACACATCCCAACTACACCAGTATTCTAACACATTAACGACACAGCACCGGTTTGACTGGATTTACTGTATGCTTTAACATATATCTGCAGGCCTCCCTTAAGAAAAAAAAAAGGATTAATCAAACCTGACAAGTCATGAATTCAGCTTTGAAAAGAAGTTTGCTATAGATAATGCTGAGTTGCCTTGGTGAGTGTTTGATCAAGAGGTTGAGAGAAGGTTGGAAAATAATGCACTTCACCTCCCTTAAGGCTCTGATAAAATCGCAGGGGACGCATGCTGTTGCCACAGAGACGGGTCAGCAGAGGGCAGTGCCCAAGACTCAAACAAGAAGAATCAACAAGGAGCAAATGAAGTGAAGTCATGTTCAAACTTAAAAAAATAAAAAAATAACTTTTTTTTAAAGGGCGCGTGGGGAGCTATTGATGGAACCAAACATTAAAATCTATACTGGACGGTTTTTGAACAAACAGATTGTGATGAGCGGCATACAGGTTTAACAAACACAGTTATCACTGAGTAAACAATTACAGACAGCCGGGTGAGATCTCTGAGGGATGGATGATGAGTTCTTACAGGCAGCAAAGAAAAAAAAAACTGAAATATGTAGAGAAACAGGAATATTTAACACTCATTCATCAATCTAGCTTTACAGTCAGGGATTAACAAAAATTAACCAGTTGTGTATTTGAGATTAACCTCACGCAAAACAGCGTTTCCCATTTTATATTTCTTTTAACTTCTTTTAACTTGAGATCTGTAAGTTGAACCTGGACAAGTTAGGAAGGATTTGAGGTGCACCTAAATTTGAGGTATAATACTTACTTTTGCTGGAATAATAACCTTGTAATATTTACCATCATTTTCACAAAGATGAAAAAGAAAAGCGGTATTTAGTGTCTGAGCTGTCGTTCTGTGGTTTTCACATGTCCCTGCTCCCCCTGCTGTCCTCCTGCAGTGCGTGCAGAAGCAAACCCCTCTGAGCCTGATGAAGGAGGACACAGTGTGGTCCATGGAGAGCTTCAACGAATACGTCAACGACAGGATCCAGGTTACCAGGGGTCTGCCCAGGGACTGGGTGCTCGGAGCCCTTGCGGTGAGGGCCGGGGCGTGCTGCAGCTCTCGGGGACCAATTACTGGTGCAGAAATGCTTGCTGGCACCTGCAGTTAATTGAAGTTTTACATGAGCTCATTCCTGTCTAAAGAAGCACCATCTTTCTTTATAATGGCAGACAACAAACAGTGAGCGCACTAAAGCCAGTCACACTGGAGAAAATAGAACAAATTATGAAGGGCGAGTAACAAAGACTTGATTCTTTGTCTCTTTAATACCCACACAACACAAGTTTATCCCTTGAGTGATTGATTTAGAGATTAATAAACAAAACACATTAGTGTTTAGACCCCGTTCTCATTTTGTGTAACTAGTTAAAATGATTCTTTAACAGGTTGATGTGTGTTGCTCTGACTTCTGGTCAGAGCCGGCTCTTGGCATAGGCGAACTAGGCGGTCGCCTAGAGCGCCATCTGCTGGAGGGGTGCCAAACTGCAGAAGAAAAAAGTAATTATTTGTAATCCCTGGTTGTAACTCTGCTCAGCGCCCCTTTCAGTTAGCTTTGTCTTAAAAAACAATAATGAAGCATTACAGGAAAAATAAACTACTCAACCCATAAAACATCCCCCCCCCCCACAATGCAACAATCGCCCTCACCCTCTCTCTCATTTGATTGATGTTGCACTGACTCGTCCTGCTCCGACACTCTGATGGGATGGGCCAGTRGTGCCTCTCAGGTTGACTTCAAAGCAGCCTGTTGATCCTGCTGACATCCATTCTGACACAGTGAGGACTGAGTTTGTCAGCAGAGGACCTTATGAGGTAAAATCGGACTTATATTTTCCAAAAAGAGAGGACCTTCTAAATCTTTGCACAAATTGTGAACAGGGTCTTTTGTTTACCCTTTTCATTTGATTTAATTATATTTACTTTATTTATTCATTTAGTTTGTTGTGTGGTGTATGTTTGCGTTTAAAGCAAATAAATCTAAGTTTACCATAGTACCTGACACTGTCAAACTTGTTTTTAATGGTTCAAATTGGGGTGGGTGGGACATAGTTCAGGGGGGTTTGCGCTTCAACTCGCCTTGGGCACCAAAATGGCTAGATCCAGCACTGCTTCTGGTGGACGACAAACTGACTGACACGTTTTTCCTTCTCGTGCATCAGAACCGGATGCAGCAGATCATGACCCATTGCTTCCATGCAGTCAAGTCCAAGCTGGACCGTCATCTGGCACTTTTCGATCTGATTGGCTGTGACTTCTTGGTCGACCAGGATTTCAAGGTCGGTTTCTAATCAGCGTTCTCGTCGGCTGGTGTTTTCTTTTTATTTTAACTCTACTTCAGCTTACTTTCTGCAATTTTAGCCACTCCTTTATCAACATGTTCAGCTCACTTAGAAAATAGGGCTATGAATGTTTTTGTAACTTTTATACTTTTTAAATCACTGAACATTATTAATAAATATTGTGAAATTTCTTCAGCTTCTTCAATAACACAGATTTCTTTAAATTTAGCGTCTAATTATTGCTGTTTTTGTCTTCTTATGCCTCTTTTAGTTTTCAGCTACAAGCTTTTACTGTTTGTTTTTAGATTGCCTTTAGCCACATTTAGCTTTTAGCAGCTTTTTGCAACTCTGCTATCCCTGTGGTACTCATTTCTTATGATGATCATTATGTTACCTTAGCATTTAGCAACTTTTAGCAAAACTTGAATTGAGTTTTAGCTAGAATTTAGTTTTTTTAGCTTTCAGATAGTATTTATCTAGCTAGCCTTTGGCTACTTTTAGACAATGACTTATAGTGTTAAGTCCTTGCCTTTACATTTTAACTGGTGTGCTTTGAACTTTAACATCTCAATTTCATCTTTTTCTGCAGATTTCAGCATTTAGCCTGCACAACGTTTTTATTTTACATAACATTTTTATTAATGTTTTTCTGCTAATGTTTCATGTGCTCATCAATCAGGTTTCATGTGTTCATTAGTCATGTTTCATGTGTTCATTAGTCATGTTTCATGTGTTCATTAGTCATGTTTCATGTGTTCAGGTGTGGCTCCTGGAGATGAACTGCAGACAAACTCTGAAGGAGGTGATACCCAGCACAGTCGTGGAGACTTTGGCTTAGTTCTGACCTCAAATCATGATCATTTTGACACAATCTGCAGACGTTTAACCAAAATCAGCCGTCGTTTGCATCAACCCAGTATCTTTAAACCAAATCCACTTTCATATTCTTCTACTGTTTGCATCACAGAGCGTTTTTTTTACTTCCCGTTACTGACGTGTGACTTTTCACATCTGCTGTTTCATGCTTCTTATCAGCAGTGAAAAGTTGTACGTTTAATACACAGCGTAAGTTTCCTTTTTGTGCTTCTGCCATGTTTCAAATAGTTATTTAACTTTTTCATTTGTTTCTTTGAAAAGTACTTTAAAGGCACAACGTGTAGGATTTTGTCAATTCTTTTAGCCGAAATTGAGATAATCACTAATGACAATAATAAAAACATGTCTAATCATTGCAAAGACCTTGTTTTTTAATTTTTACCTTATAAAAAGCTGTTTATATCTCCATGGTCGCGTGTTGCCACACAGGCAGCCGCCATCTTGCACCGCCATCTTGTCTACGAAGGCTCATGAAGGACAAACTGCGGTGGCGGCGTCAAAAACGTTTTTAGTTGTAATACTATAAATGTAATATTTGTTGTCTGTCATTGTAGCTGGKATAATTTTACTTATTAAAGCTCATAATCTTACCAATTGAAACATCACTAGCCCTGAAGCTGCTGGTAGACATCGCGGTTGGAATTATCAAAGTTTTTGACACCTGAGAGACACCGTAGCAACTCCTTTGCCTTTGGAAGGGGGTGGGGGTGGGGGGAGGACCAGGGAGGATGATTCAACCACTCAACCACTAGATGTCGCTGAAAACAACAAATCCTACACACTGTGCCTTTATGAATGTAGTTTTTAAAACAGTTTTCTGTTCAAATAAAGTCAAACAAGGCATTTATCTAAGCTTGTTTCAAAGCATCTAAATATTTCTTTCACCCCCGCTCCTTTCTAGATCCATCTCTGGAGATCTTCAACAAGTGTCGCCTCAGGCAGAAAGTCCTTCCTCTAACCACTCAGCAAAACTTTGTGCTGCTGTACGACAGGTTTTCGGCTGTGTCGGCTGCCAGCTGGAGGCGCTGTCAGAGCCACAACAAGGCAGAACCCAGAGCTGCAAGTTTAGAAGGCAGGATCGCTGCTTTGGCTTCACCTGATGATCCTGGAGGAAGTGCTCGTCCAAAACGCAGTCCGGTCACCTCTGCAACTAAACAGAGTGCCAGCCGGTAAATCTGTGAACTTTCACATACGCAGCGGCACAAGAGCTGAGGTCAAAATCATACCGAATGCTTTAAGAGCTGCACAGTGTTTGAAGATTCAGCAGAAAGCCACTCCGACTGACTGCAGCTCCGTTTGCAGCTTGCCCTCCAAAGGTGATGTGCAAAGAGAAACGCAAAAAGAAACACAAAAAGAAGAAAGGAGAAACTGTGATGAATGGAAACCAATGTGAAAAAAAACACATATTAGATTAAAGATTGCTGTGTTGCATTACTTCTTCTTCTTGTGAGGATTGTGTTTTCTGTTGTCTTGTGTCTATCTCCCTCTGGTGTTTTCTTCATTATCATTACTCCTCAGTTTACCTGTCACTTCCCTCCTCGGTCAATTATACACACCTGTGAGTGGCTCCCAATTAGTGTTTTTACCAGCTGTAGTTCATTTTCTCATCCCCTCTGTTTGTATTTATGCCTGGTTCAGTTCTCACTTCCTCACTGATTCATTGTTTGGTCTTACCTACCGTTATGTTCTCCCTGTTGTTTCTAGTTTTTCTCTTGGTTGTTTTTTTGCTGCCTCGACAGCTTTTGTTTTATTTTTGTTAAAATAAACATTTTTCACTTTTTGCAAAACTCTTAACCTCTGTCTGGATTTAGGTTCTTCCTCCTCGCAAACGTAACAGTTCTTTGATCCAACGCACAAATCAAAGACAACAAAGGCATTGTGCAAAAGTCTTAAACCAAGAGGCTGAGACGCAATGCCGTTTGAGTCAAACCCTGAAAATACGGTTATTTGAAATGTTACGCAATAATGAGAGAGGTAACACTCAGGACGTGTTGAGAGTGACTCTCAGCTACTACCACGTCACATTTTAGCTCAGTATCTATAAAGATGGCTGAGGCTAGGGCCATTTTTGTGTTTGCTAAGATCACTTAGTTGGGGCGGCTCCAAAAGTTGATCAGGTGTAAAGTTTCAATAAGTGAATCTTGAGATATTTTGCTAACAGAGTTGACTTCAAAAAGTTAATACTAAAGGTTCAACTAAAGAGACCGTTATTGTTTGTTGCATTTAAGTTATTTGTCAGGATAATTACTGTGAAATTGACATTTTTGTTGCACAAACACGTTCGTCAGTTGACCTTACACCACAGACACGCCCTCCCACCAGCTCCTGCGGGAGGATCAACAACAGTCTCCTCTCCACAGCTGTTGCAGCTTGTTTTGACTGCAGCCACCAACATCTCACTGTCACAACTCGTAATTATCTCACCTGACTCTCCACGCGTCCAGGCCGCCGCTTTCCCAACAGGAAGCTTGCCTCATCCAGTAAAGGAGGGCCTGTGCGGTGAACCCCGGGGTTACCGGCGTGAGGGGATGTGTAACATGGTTATTTTGCTCTTTCATTTTGGTCGACTCGTTTCTCGGCAACATCACAAAACAGCTGTCGATCATGACGTGTCGATTGTGGCTCCCAGCATGTGAGCGCAAGAGCACAAAGTGAGGAAGCGGCTCAGTCCTCCGCAGACAGCCGACCCACGCAGGAAGGAACAGCCGCGGCTCTGCTGCTTTTATTTTCATTATCCCCTGCAACCTGCAACTTTTCTTTTGTTCTCGGCACTCTGAGGAAATATAAACTACATGGTGGCAGAAAGGAGGGAACTGGTTCCTCTCTCTCCTCTTCACAATATCCTCTTTTAAACCCAACCAACCCCTCCTCCACGTTTTCCCGTTATCTCTTTGGTTTTAATGTGGYGTGCGCACACACTGTTTGGATGATCGCCTCGGCAGATGGTGCTCAGTGTCTGAGTCTGGGACAGACTGTTGGCTGGTCATGGGATGCTGCAGCGTGACCCAGAGGCACAGCGGAGTGGACGACGTGGGCCCCGATGAAATCGAACTACTGGAACTGTCCGGAGACAGTTTAGGGTAAGACATGAACCAGCCAAGACTTGTTCATTCATAATAATAATAATAATAATAATAATAATAATAATAATAATAATAATAATAATAATAATAAAACACAGAGGACATAGATGCACACATCTGTTTTCATTTCTGAGTTTGAAGCTTGGAAAGGTCAAAGGTATCTGAAACAGTCAGATTGCACATTTTAAGTAACTTTAAATGTGTTTTTTTGTGTGTGTTAACTTTTAAAAGAGGAAGCAGTACAATTCCAAAAGTGCACCTCTGGTTTTCTGCAGCATTTTATGTGTCATGTGAGGTTAAAAAAAGTGGAAAAAAACAAAGTCCTTTTTTTCCCCTATCAGTCGCATCATTTTCAGGATGCAGCTAAATAATAAGTGACTGGATGTTTCCAGACAGGAAAAAATAAAAAATAAAAAATAAAAAAACTTTATGAGTCTGTGGAAAAACAGCAACATGTAATATTTTTTTGTGAAGAACAAGACGACAGTTAGGACTAAACAACTCAACACAAACTCAAAGAAGTTAGCGATGCGACACTGATGCGATTAGTAGATTAATACGAGACAAGAGTGGAGGGGTTTAATACAAAGACATGGATGGAGGGGGATTAGCAGGAGGCTAATCACAAACTGAACCCCACTGGTCCTCCTGTTTCATTGTTCCTGCTTATTGTCTTTTGACATGTAAATGGGTTTGATGATGTGAATAAGCATTTAAATCTGTAATAAATGTCCAAACAGGTCAGAAATATTTKACCTCAAACAGCTGGTTGGTTAAGATTGAGTTTATTTTTATTTTCTTCACAGTCAGTGTAGAAAAGACACATTTCCACAGACAGATCATACAACTAGTGCGTTCATCAACGTTACGCTTTAGCTCAACATTTCCATGATTAAACTTTTTTTAGACTTTTAATTGTGTTACTCTAATCCCCATTTATTATAAACACTTCAAAACAAAGAATCTTTGAATTTCAAAGTAAAAAAAAGATTTAAAATCATGCCTACATGATTACTCTCGACGACGATTTTTAATGACACTTGGTTCTAGAGCACGTGTCAAATGCCTGTTTATAACAATGGTAAACTTTACATTTATGATTAAATGCAACAACTAAACACCTTTAAAAGGTAAAAGATAATACTTGTCCTGCCCCAGAGCTGTTGGCTTTGAGTTGGATTGCACAGTATTGATGTCTCAAAATAAGCTTTAAAGCCAGCTTCGACCATAAACTACATGGTACTACTACTACTACTCCCATAAAGCATGCTGATGTTTCACGGGAATTCCCTGTAGGAAAAACTCACAACGCAGTGAGTAAAACTTACTTAAATAAATCTGTATTTATTTCASATTTAGTCAAACACTTAGTACTTTTCAGTGTTTATAAGAAGACGTGTTGAAATGCTGTTTCTCTGCAGGAAACACCAGGTAGARCTCAGTTAGTGTTTGTTAGCAGTGCTGAGAGTCAAAGTTAATTACCACTGACCCTCTGAGGGCCACCATAATGCTCTAGAGAGTTAATTTTGAATTTGAAGACACTGAAAAGTTTCAGACCTTTTGTCAAATGAAATGTTTATTTTTTTAACAGCTTCGATTGGATGTGATTTTAAAATATTTGTAAAAAGGGTCGAGAACAAAGCCAATCATGTTCTGATATTAAGTACTTTTGTCTGAAACTGGTCATTTAGAATCACTGATCTGGGGTCAAATGAGAAC